CCCCCCCCCCCCCCCCGCATCAATTCATCATGATAAGAATGTTGGTATTAAAGAGTGCACAAAGAAGCACTATGCCTAAATACAGGCACACACGCAGAGCATTTAAAGTTGGGCAATTTCCGTTTTAAGCACGATCAAACGGAAAATGAGAGTAAATGCATGCGATCTTGTCCAACACTATCAGTATCCAGATCAGTATCATTCATGTATTGTAGTTAAGTTAAAACTTAAAACATAGTTGGAAGACTCATAAAAGCTTTATTTGTTAATCTAGGGCTTGAAATATCCTCCGTAAGACCGTAACAAGTGACTAACAACTCTCTTCCCCGTTTGACCGGGACATTCTAGTCTCCCAATTTTTCGCCGAAGTGTCTGGTCTGACACTAACAATATTGTTAAAAACAAGCTGTATACGTTACTAATTCTACAACAATTAAAAGTGTCGTAATTAGAATAAGTATGACAACTACACATCAATAATCAATATAGATCACAATAAATCGTTTGCATATAACTATAAGTATAATTAGCATAGATAATAGTATTGTTTCGAGTGCAATTTGGAAGAAACATGCACGAATGAGTTTTGCCACTGTGGTTTTGCAAAGAAAAATTTAAGAAATCTTAATAGTTAATATCTTAATTCCCATGAATCATTGCGCGAATTTTCCCGCAACGATTTGGAGACTGAAATGTCATGGTATATTGTGTTATACACTCATCCTAAACTATTTGCTACAAGAAGGTGCTATGATGCCATCCCGCAGTTATGTGTGAGACCAGAGTATCTGTATGTGTGCTACGTTTTTCTCTGACATTATAATAAAAATAATCATATATTATTACTTCTACAGAGCTCAAAGTATCAAAAATGTTCTAAAGGGGAGCAAAGCGCTTTACAACACACCTTTATATGTACCATAAATCATAATTCATAAAACTATTAATTAAAAATATAAATTCTGAAAACGCTTTTCAAGAAAGGAAAGTCTTATGTTGTACAAGTCTTAAAACTGTTAATTTCGTACATCATGGGAGAACATTCCAACCTCGGGTTTGACAGTCATCAAATCTATTATGTACTGCGCGGCTGAGTCTTGATTCATGAAGAGCCTTGAACACCAACAAGAATGCAATCTTGAACAATGTGATACCATCATGTCAATACTTAACAACACTAGATCCCAGACTTCCAAACGAAATTCTAGTTACCAAATTTCAAAACTAATAGAGCTAGGAATTTGAAATGATCAGGAGTACAAGAATGTTATAGTAACTTAAACTAATATTATACATAGTTACATATGTATGTTTTTATTCTAGTTTTTTCTTAATATGTATGAGTAATTTCAATCTAATTTTTTGAATAAGAAGCTATAATTATGATTATTTAAAACTCTTAGCCCCAATCCCAATTTATTGATAATTTTTCAACAAAATAGTGCGATGTTATACAGAGAATTGTTAAACATATAGTCAGAATTTTTTTAATTAAACAAAGTATATCTTTAAGCCTCTGTCTTTAAGCCATCTGATTTTTAACTTATCTATTTAGAGGGCACTTTCAATCAATCACCGCGATTTTCTAATTTTGTTCGAATTCCGTTTCAAGTCGCACAAAATTTGAACAGTACACGAACAGTATCGCGGATGCGCGGAGTACTGTACGTCGCGATTTCAACAAAAGTATATAAACGTGACTAACCTTTTCAAAACAGGGAATTTAGATCAGCATTGGACTGTTCGCGCTCAGTCGTTGAATCTTCGGGAATTTGACGGCGAGAGCGTCGTCGTAAACATCTTGGGCATTGGCGTTCAATTTTGCATTGCTTGTGAAACACAGCTTTGCATCTAGGGCACTGTAAACATAGATGACTTCACTTCAACAAGACGTGTACTATAGTGCATGCATGCGGTATTGCAAGTTTCACATGGACGAATATCAACAACTATAGAGGATATTATATCTATAGATTTTGGGCACCTCCTTCGATTGAACACCATATCAAAGTTTGTAGATGGAAATTTTGAACGAAAGCTATATGCGTTTTTTCGTCTTATCCCATACCTGTGTTAAAAGCGGCTTTCTGATTGGTTTAGAGCAGGTGAGCTTGTCGTCGAGCTCACCTGCTTTTTGCCGAACTCACCTGCTTTTCACCCGAACTCACCCGCTAAACTGTTTACGTTGCAATAACAATAACAAATATGGCGGACAAGATTTAGCCGATAAACCTAAACTTTAAAGAAATATTTTCGGTGACTAACATACTGAGACTGAAGAAAAACCAAAGCAAAAATGCAGTAAAGGTAATGTAGACGTAGATAAAGAAGTATTTTCTTCCCCAGTGATTTTTTTGGCCGGGAAAATGTTCACAAAACATCGACGAATATATCGCGAAGAGCTACAAATGTGTGTATGGCTTGGTGTATGGGATAAAAACCAAACGTACTTGCAGGTTCGGTGAGTCCGG